CTTTTATTTATAATCTGAAACATGTTTTACATTGTTCGTTAGCAGGTTCTTTCGTCTTTGCAAATATGGACAAGACACAAAGGTTTTTAGTTTTAGGGTTTCTTGCGATTGCTTTTTCATTGTTCGTGCATCTTGGTTCTGCTGCGAATGCCACAAACAGGTTTGTTCATTACAAAACCATCTCTTTGCTTCAGTATATTTATTAATTATTATATTAGTTTCTGAGATTTTTTGAGTTTTAATATTGAGTATCACATTTTATGGAAACAATAACAGCAATTCCTTGACTCATGCACGTAACAATGTAAGACGTTCAATTTGAAATTTTGAATATGAAGTTTTTAAATACGTTTAAGTAACATAGCAACAATCTTTAGAAGTCCTTTGTGTAATGGGAATGGTGTTTCCAATCTTTTCTTCCTCCTTGTAATATGATTTTTATATTAATATTATTTCCGCCCATCGGCAATTATCCAGGAAACACAAAAAAGAAAAAATAGCCCCCAAGTGTAGCTTAAAAAGTCGATAAATTTTTTTAGCTAAAATCAATAATAAATTTTGATCACATATTTCATGAAATTTGCAACTTTTCGACAACACATTATCATTGACTTTTATAAAAATATACTAAAAATCTAATTTTTAATTACACAAAGATATGCATAATTATTATCTTCTTGATTTTTTGTATTACTAACTATATATTTCAACTATTCACTACTTATTTTCTTGATTGTTTGGATTTGTTGCCAACTCCAGAAAATCAACTCTCGTTCCAAAGACACCTTAATATATGTCTCTATCCACTGCGGAAATTAAGGGACCAAAAAACATTGATTTTTATCCCATTCAACTTCGAAAAAATATTTGAATCAAGTCCATAGATACTGCATTTTCCGTTACTCTTCATTGATTGAGACCCATTATCTAAAAATTCATTTTTTTCCCCTAACTCATTTTCAACCACATATTTTTGCAACAAAATAATTTCACATAAATCCAAACTCTTATCTACTTTCTAACTGCACATTCTTCAAATATTACTATTACAAAATCCAATTGGTATCATGATTCAACTTAAATTTCTCATAAAGTAGAGGTCTTAGGTTCAAATTTTGGAGATGTAATAGAAATTTGCGAGAGGTAAAATGAAAGTGCGGATAGTATTTAAGTTAACGGCTTGGGCACAAAGGCCGGATCATTACAAATAAGTGAACCCTGATACCAATTGGGCAATATGTCCATTTTACAAAAAAATGGAGCTCAAACAAAAGAATACAGAATTCCTTAGTTAGCTTCTCTTTATTGCTATATAATTTTGTCAATTGCTGATTTAAGTAATTAATAATCAAATCTGCAGATGGATGCCACAGAACGCTGATCAAGAACTGCCGTCTTCTCCAGTCAAACTGAATAAATGGAAAGATCATGTAAGCCTAAATTACGTACATAAACTCCATATATTGTTTCTGATATTGAATACTATTTACATATTTGGATGTCGAAATAGACATTACTAGACAATGAGGAACAAAAAGAAGTTAAATTTTATTGACAATTATATCATACAATACTCTACAGTGTGTCCAATATGACGTTCAATATATACTTTTTATGTTTGTCTTTTTAATTCAATAAACTACTTTATACGGTTCTTGAGAGGAAAAAGATTGAAGAAGAAAACATTGGCATACAAATTTGTAATGCAATTACATTACCCCCAATAAAACAGATATGTCAACTATGTATATCCAAATTGATTAGATGTATTTTTTTGCAGGTGATGTTGGACAATGGCATTGTTAAACTCACATTATTATCTCCAAGTGGTTTAATCGGGGAAATACAATACAAAGGAGAAAAGAATGTCCTCGAATATCATCTAAAAGAAAATAGACGAGGGTGAGTTGCTTTGAATCAAAATACTTCGAATAAAGTTGCAAAATAAGTTCTTGAAAAGAAAATATTCATTGCTGCACATTCTCCATTAAATTACCTAACAATTTATACAATTCCCTTTTAAGTCTAATAGTAACTCCTACTTTACATGGATTTGCACATTTAGGTATTGGGACATTGTATGGAGTAGGCCACCAGAGCGCAAAAGTTTTTTCTACGAGTAAGTTCAAAAATTTGGTTCTCCTTAGAGTTTCAGAAATCAAGTCCATTACTTCCACATTCAAGAATACTTATTTAAGTAATAGAAAAATACTATTAATCTTCGTTAAATTATGCAGGCTCGAAGGGACAAGTTTCAAAGTTATAGCAGAAACAGAAGATATGATCGAAATTTCATTCATGAGAACATGGAATTCCTCTGATAGTTCCTTTTACCCCTTGAATGTTGATATAAGGTGGAATTTATTTTATTAATATGGAAAGCATATTCAACAACTTGATAGAGTCCGCCTAACTAATAAATCTTTTTTTTGCAGGTATATAATGTTGCGCGGGAGCTCTGGTTTCTATTCATATGCAATAATGGAACATTTAGAAGGATGGCCCGATTTAAATATTGACGAAGCAAGGATTACTTTCAAACTTGACGATGCAACGTAAGATATGAGAATTATAAACTTTAAACTGCATTACATGCTCAAATGTGCGCTTCAATAATTTTATCTATATTGTATCTGTAGGTTCCATTACATGGCTATATCAGATGACATACAAAGGATTATGCCAACAGCTCGTGATCGTACTGGAGGCCAAGTTCTTAATTATAGAGAAGCCGTTTTGTTGAAAAATCCTAGCAATCCGTCCCTCAAAGGCGAGGTGGATGACAAGTACCAGTACTCGTGTGACAACAAGGATAGTTTGGTGCACGGTTGGATTAGTACTGACCGAGACATTGGATTTTGGGTGATTACACCGAGCAATGAGTTCCGTGTTGGTGGCCCAGTGAAAAATGATCTTACGTCTCATGTTGGTCCGACCTCTTTAGCTGTAAGTGGATCATTTTTCAGTAAAAGTAACTTTAATGTCTCAAAATACACATTCCAGGAAAATTCTTGAAATATTTAGGAAATACAGACGTTTCATCAATGGTTTTTCTCTAAGCATTTAATTGACACTTTCTTATTCACTAATTCCTTCTGAATTTTCCACGTCCAGGTATTTTTTAGTGGTCATTATGCTGGTCCAGATTTTGGAATCAGATTACGCAATGGAGAGCCGTGGAAAAAGGTCTTCGGGCCTGTTTTTATATACCTCAACTCAGGTTCAAGTAACAAGCCAAGTACACTTTGGGAAGATGCTAAAGAACAGGTAATAAATATTTGAAAATTTATAATAACTATGTCATTTTCGTTCCCCAACCTAACTCACATTTGTCAATCATTTCAATTCATCAGATGCAAAAGGAAACCCAAATGTGGCCATATGATTTTCCAAGTTCAGAAGACTACCCTCAGGCCAATCAACGGGGCACCATTACTGGTCGATTATTAGTTCGTGACCGATATCTCAGTCGAGAATTCATGCCTGCAAAATCAGCATATGTGGGATTGGCTCCACCGGGAGATGTGGGATCTTGGCAAACAGAAACTAAGGTTATATTTTGACATAAATTTAATATATATTTCTCAAACTTATCAAAATAACAGCACTAGGTAAGTTTGTGATTTTCACATAAGATGTTTATTATTTTTTAATATTATTACCAGGGTTATCAATTTTGGAATCAAACTGATGAAAATGGTTACTTCACGATAAGCGGCGTCCGGGAAAGCACTTACAACCTGAATGCTTGGGTCCCAGGAGTGATGGGTGACTACAAATATGAAACTGATATTGTTGTCACGCCAGGTTTTATCTCAATGCCTATTGAATTTTATATTTGAAAGTTGAAAAATATTTCTTACCTGCAAAGTACGGAGAAAACAAATATATTTAACCCAAATTATGATTTTTGGTACAGGAAACCAAATTCAACTAGGCAATCTTGTATATAATCCTCCAAGAAATGGTCCAACCCTATGGGAAATTGGGATCCCTGATCGTACTCCTGCCGAGTTCTACGTGCCTGATCCATCGCCGGAGTTGAGAAACAATGTATTTACTAAACAAAATCAGAAGTAAGCTCCTATTAAATGATGAACAATGATTTTACCTTAATTAATTGAGCTTTTTTCGAAATATAACTGTTATCTATTTCTATTAATCACTTTTCTTATATTCTCAGGTATAGACAATACGGATTGTGGGATAGATACACAGATTTATATCCTGATCAAGATCTAGTTTACACTGTTGGCACCAGTGATTACAGAAAAGATTGGTTCTTTGCTCATGTCAACAGGTATTTAAAACGAGTTTTTATTATCATTTTGTTCCTCTACAAGATAAACTTGCAAATTAATTGCAAAGTATATATATATATTTTGCAGGAGAACAAATAATACATTCCAGTCGACGACATGGCAAGTTTCATTTAATTTAACAGATGTTGTGAGGACACAAACCTATACACTCCGGATAGCACTAGCTTCTGCCAACTATGCTGAAATACAAGTATGGTTTATAAAAATTATCTTTCATTTCTTATAAAATAATTATGAATTAATCTATTTAATGTTTGATTCATGTATTTTTATAGGTTCGAATCAATAATCCATATGCAGAACGTCCTCACTTTACTACAAAATTAATAGGCAGAGATAATGCAATTGCGAGACATGGACTTCACGGGTTATACTCATCATATAGCATCAGTGTTCCGGGATTTCAACTCGTGCATGGAAAAAATACAATCTATCTAAAGCAATCAAGAGGCGCGACTCCTTTCAATGGAGTCATGTACGACTACATTCGCTTTGAAGGGCCACCAGAAGTCAGACTCTAGAATGAATTAATTAGTTTACATGCTCAGCTTAGTACATTATTTTCGTAGTCCCAGGAAATAAGTGAAAATCATATATCGGCTCAGAAACTCCAAATTCATTGGAAGAGCTACAATCGTAATTTTTCTTTGACACAGGCACTGCACAATTTTTTTCATTTTCTGA